TCTTGCGATGGTTGTAAGGTGTATGGGCACCTTTACAGTATGTAAAGTGCTTCTAAAATTGTACAGCTTGCATGGTTTGTATGTAGCCCCACCTATTCCCACCACTCAAACTTTCCTGTTGGCTAGGTTTGTGATGGGTACCCTCACTGGCCAATAGTAAAGTGCAGATGGTAGTAAGCGGCAGGACTGCCATGGACACATCTACTATAGGGACCAAAAGTCAGCCTAACTACTTCATGCCATGTGATGAGTAACTTTAAATTTAATTGTTCTTGCAGTTAATGTTTGCATGCTCGCTGTGTACCCTGTTCCCCATATTCCAGACATGTCTAACTGAGTGTTTCACGACTGCTATATGGAAGTTATATGTATGTATGCTATATGGAAGTTGCCATTCCTGGAGTACACACTCCATATACACTGCGGCCCATCCAATTATTTAAAATTGGGCTGCAGTATGTAGCCAGCCAGTTTAGTGTATGTGAAATGTGAAAGACCATTGTTTTTCCTAGATGCTGGTCCTACGTTGGTGACTTCGGAGTTGGTCAGAACCTTTCTATCGGAAGTGGATGTGACCATAAGGCCATTATAGAACATGAGATCCTACATGCATTGGGATTCTACCATGAGCAGTCCAGAACTGATCGTGATGACTATGTCTTGATCTGGTGGGATGAAATTACTGAAGGTCAGTTTATATAATGTGCGATATTAATAAAAACATTAAAGGGAAACTATATCCACCCGCTAAAAAATTATTAGTATTACTTATAATACAAATGCATCTCTCCCATGCAGGTTTATCTCTTTTGGTTAGGAAGAGGTTAAGGAACAGTTAGAGCCCCTTTTAGTTTTTTCTATTCTTAGTTTTTTTTCCATTCAGTTATTCCGGAGATGGATTTTAAGAAACAGTTAGTACTGTTGCCAGTTTTTTTATTAATTTGGGGGGTTTTTAATTGCTGTCTTTGGCTCCATTCAGAAGAAGTGCAGGGAAAATCACCCTAACAAGGTAAAACAATGTTAATTAGTAGAGGAGAAAAAGGTTAGAACTTTTTTTTAGACTTTTATTGTTGTGTCCCCATTTGGGAGATTTTCTACTACTTTTTGCCACAAAGGCAACATTGACACCAGGGCTGTAAGTGAAATGTCCCCAACCAACATGATGGCTTCCTACTTTACAATGCCGCACAATCTTTGTGCCTTACTGCTCCTTCTTACGGGAGTCAAAAGTTATACCGAGAAGCTGTCAATAAATCACAACTTGTTGGTTAATATCAAGAATAATACCCTAAATGGACTCAATCGAAGCATAGGCAGGGCAGGTTTTCCAACAAGGCCACAGAGGCCTGGCCTCGGGGCGGCAGAGAGTAGAGGGGCAGCACAGCCGCCGGGCAGGTAGTTTTGTTCTACATTTAGCCCTGCTTCAGGCAAGCAGGGCTGAATGTAGAGCAGGGTAGCCACTGCTCCTTTTGTACAAGTGATCGCGGCGATGTCGCCGAGATCACTTGTAATTTGCCTGCAGGTCCCACCGCACCCCCTCCATGGTCTGCCTCCATCTCCGGCTGCCTCGGTCCCTGCCGGCCGCCTCCCTCCCCACCGTGGTTTTTCGGGGTCCACTCTTTTGTGGGACCCAGGACTATGGCACATTCATTCAGGATGGAGAGCGGGAAGCAGAGTGGGGAACGTCCGTTCTCCGCTCTGCTCCGTGTGAACACTGAGACAGGAGAAAAAAATAATAAAATACAGTGGAATTTTTTTTACAAAGTAAACAAATAATAAAGAAAACATTAAAAAAATTAAAATCAACCCTGCCCCCCGCCATCTGGTTGCTATTTCCATTGGGGGGAGAGGTTTGCCACATAAAAAAAAAGGCTGGACAAGATAGGGTGGGTAGAATGATGTTACCACCCGGGATTCTGGCTCAACCCTACTGTGCAATTTAATCGGCCAATTGGTCAGACGATAAGCCCTGAATCATTGTGCTTTCCTCCTGATTGCTTCACATGCCAATAAACTTGTCAATAAACAACTACAAAATTTGTCCCTTCTTTCATTCATAATTTTTTTTGTGTGTGGTAATTCTGATGTTGTTTTTTACAGGGATGGGACATAACTTCAACACATACAATGATAAATTCATCACTGATCTGAACACTCCATATGACTATGAGTCTGTTATGCATTACGGCCCTTACTCCTTCAACAAGAACCCCAACGTCCCGACCATTACCGCCAAAATCCCCGCCTTCAATAACATCATAGGACAACGTCTGGACTTCTCACAGATTGACCTGGAGCGCGTCGACCGCATGTACAACTGCAGTATGTAGCAATAATATATTATTATATCATTTCAGGGATGGGAGGGGTTACATCAAGCTAATTAGCGCATTGCAGTTACCTTTTCATGATTTTTTACTTTTCTGGACATTTGTGAATAAATTAATCAAAAAACAAAACTGCAGGTGAAGCTGGTCTAGACTCTAGAAGAAAAATAGAAAATTATCTGTTCATTCTCTCCTTTGTCTCTTATATGGACGGTGAGGCTAAATGATAGCAGACAGCATGCTGATTGCAGTAGGGCATTTTTGCTTTAGCTTTTGCAAAAATAGCCTATCACCAAAAAAGGGGTGGGGCTTGTACATTATTCGGCTGTTCATTGGGCATCAAGATGTCTGAATACAGACCTTTACACTAAAAATTACATTAGCATGTAGCTCTCAATGCTGATATGCAACCATGTTACATTCATAAGTTTGCTTTTTATTTATAGTTACTGTTTACCACATCTTGGTTGAGTGAGGCACTGGTGATGTAGTCCTGGCCTCACAGATGCATCATGGGAAGCTACCTTCCTGGGAAATCTCATCTGTAAACTGCAAAAAAATCTTGTGAGATCTTGGGGGGGAGGTTTCTTCCCCCCCAGATGATGTAAAATGTTCCAGAAAGCAGAGCCAGAGTTTCAGGAAGTAAAGGGAAATGGATTAATCTGCCCTTAGTAAAAATGGCTCCTGTGGGAAACGTGGGGTGGAAAAGAAGAATAAGGTATTCTAAAAGCCAGAAATGTTATATATATATATATATATGGTATATCTGTTTGTAGATTGCCATTACGAAAAATTCTTAAGGCCCCTTTTAGCCGGGGGTTCAGATCAGGCGCACCTGGCAGTTTTTCAGGCAGATATGATCAGAAGCCCAATGCTGGTTTATGGGCAGCCGCATCTAAATGGATGTGCGCCCGTTTACATCCAATAACCCCCCCCCCCCTTCGACTCTGTCCAGGTCCGGAATACCAAATGTAACAGAGCTCCTTTTTGGCAAAACTGATTGTGACGGATCAGGGGTGATCTGATCTAAAAGGACATGTGTGTGCTTACATTTCACTCCCCATATACCTAACATGACTGTACAGCAGACAACTGGACAGACACGGATGTCACAATTGTGAGATCCATTCTGCACTGCTCCGATCGGCAGGGGATCCATGCATTGATCCCCTGCTGATCAGGAAATGACAGGCACCCATGCCAAAGGGGCCTAAAGGTGCCTTTGTTGTCATTTTAAAGAGTTATATAAGACTCCTATGGGTTATATAGATATTTTATGGGAAAAATTATTGCATACATTAGTGATATTTATCTTTTTAAATTGACCATTTTGAGCAGAAATGATGTGATAAAACAGCAACAATGTTTAAAATAGTGAATCCTATGAATCCTGATGTCACGTATATTGGTGTAAATAACAAAGAATGCAGAATAAATTTGAGTTAACGTGCCATTCCCTTGCAGCCGCCCCGCTCATTCTCCTGGACCAGTGCTCCTTTGAATTCATCAACATCTGCGGAATGGTCCAGGGTACCACAGACGATGCAGACTGGATCCATGAACTCAGCGTTCCTGGGTCTTCTTCAGACCATACCTTGGCCGGACGCTGCAGAGGTAATAAATTCCACCGTGAAACTGCTGACTCTACTAAGTGTGCCCCACAAGCTCTCCATCCTTGTGCAAAGGCTACATGTTATGGTTTAACAGCAGGCATAAACACAGATTCCGCACCGACTGTTCCTGCCAAGGGTCAATTGCCTTGTTTGCTTTGGATAGATAATCAGGGGAAAGAATGTACTATGGTTTGCCCATAAACGGGATCTGAGTTTGTTGACATTGCTCCTAGTTGAATGTGAACTATGAACTGACTGTAAAATATTGAACATGAGAGAAATTACTAGAAGGAGATAAGGTATTAAGTGTATCTTAGTTGAAGCTGAACTGCAGCAAGACATTGAAGAGACGGATTGGGGCAGTACTGCTCAATAATAGTAAAAGCCGTCCTAACAACCAATGGCTGCAGAGGAGGATCTCTTTCACGTCATTGGTTGCTAGGACGCCAGCAAACTGAAACGCGGTCTGAACACGGATTAATAATCGCTGAACTGCACTGTGCTTTGGCTTGCAGTGAATGCACCAGCCTTGGAGGCCGGTGCATCCACTGTTAGCCAGTGTCAGATACCTGGTGTGGTCTGAAGTGATGAGGGAACTCATTAAAGAACCCTTGGAATTGGTACAGGGAATGCACGGAACTGAGAGAGGCACAAGTGGCTGTAGCTGATGCAGGACTGCTGGTGCAGGAGTGATGATGCCGGTAACTGGAAGCAGGATACCTTTGAAACTGTACTGTCAGCAGCAGACCAGATGGTAGCGGAGACAGTCTGTTAAGAAGTGGAGTCAGGCGCATCAGGTCAGCAACTGGTGGGCAGTGGGGTGCAGAAGCAGAAGGCAAGATCAAAGTCACTGGAGAGCCTTGGGGGCAAGCAGAGCCGAATCAGGATGCAGAAGAGTAGTCAAGACAGGTGTGGGTCAGAAGGCAGGCAGCAGGCAAGCAAGAGTCGAGAGTCAAGCTGGGTTGGATCAAATAACAGCAACAGGAGAAACAGGGCACAGGATACAGCTGAAGATCTTCTAGCAGCTAGCAGCTGCATCCATCATCCTTAAATTGCCCGCCTGGCACCAACTACTCGACCAGGCGTGTGCACATTCATGCGTGCCTGTCGCACCAGATTGCGCTTTATATTATGAACACCAAACGGCTTCCTATGCACATATTTACACGCAAAGGTTGTGTAGCGATCCGTGCAGCAGTTGTACTAGGGACACCAGCTGGACTTCCCTGACAGAATGGATCGCAGGTCAGTGGGCTGGACAGCTGCAGAGCAAGGGCCCTATACGGCCCAGGGCCCATAAAATGCCCAGGTCTGTGCTGGAGTCAGTTTTACAGTTAGGGATAATTTACGGCTAGGGACACTTAGCCCTAAAAAGTCTCCCACATAGAAGAAGACTTTAGATTCCTTTGACAAAATTTACTGGATACCTATTTGAAAAAGTCTGATAAGATTCTTTTAGAATAGGAAATCAGGAAATAGGAAAGTTCCTTATTTTTATTCTGATTTCCATTAGCTGTCAGTCATTGCTGTTGTTACAGTTGAGTACTTTATGATGAATAATTTATTTTTACATAAACTCTTCTTCCTGCAGATGCTGGATATTTCATGTCCTTTAAAACCCATGGCGGAGCAGTTGAAAAAACCGCTGTGCTGGAGTCCAGAATCCTCTATCCAAAGAGGACAGAGCAGTGTCTTCAGTTCTTCTACAAGATGGACGGCAGCCCGAAGGACAAACTCAACATCTGGCTTCGCCTCGATGATGGCACCGGGACTGTGAGAAGGTTGAGGAAAGTCCAGACAATAAATGGTATGTATCTTAGTCAGCGATATTTGTAGTCGAGAGGGGCAAGGAGGAACCCAGGAAGGGTGAAAGAAGCCAAATTTAGGGTGAGGCCTTTTTGGTTTGGCCATCACTACTAACTGCCCTTAGTGTGAATAATCCTTTTACATACCATTGAAAAAAAATCATCCTCTTGATATCACATATACCGCTGATATTTGAACAGGAAGTGATGGGAAACTTCCTTAATTGGAACACAGACAGCAGTAAAGGACAATTTTTGCAGAGTGAATATGGACTAGGAGGACTACTCTCTGGTTCCTGAGACTTTAATGATGTGAAGCACTTGCAATGTTCCTGGTAGCCAGTGACCATGTGATGTAGCTTGCCTAAACGGTAGGTCACATGAGGGAAATCAGATGCAGTTTTGTTTACGAGAAGATGCAATTATTTATGTGTGTATATATATATACACTGAGTGGCCAGTTTATTATGACCACCTGAGGTTTGTAGGCAAATTAGCAGTAATTAGCTATAATTTTGCGCTGAAGTTGCTAGAGGGCCAGACCATTATAAATAGGGAAGCAGGTTGTTTACCACGACAGTAGAAGTGTTTTTTTTCTAAAGATACGGGGAAACAATGCGATTTAACAGCCTTTGAACGTGGGATGATTGTTGGCGCTCAAGCCATGGAGCGAGTATCAGCAAAACAGCAGAATTCGTTAAATGTTCAAGAGCAGCTGTTGTTAAAGTGTTTAAAGACTGGACTGTCAGCCGAAAATCTGGGTCTGAACGTGCGAATTGTGGCCGTCAGCGACTAGTCAATGTTAGGGCAGAACGGGGGAGGGGCAAGACTGGTACAAGACAACCGAAGGGCAACAGTGCAGTGTCAGATTTCTCTCATCACTTTTCAACATCTCGTGGAGTCACGAAGCGGCCCAACTAAGTAATCTCGTGGCCCAACGAAGTACTGATGGGGTGGTCATAATAATCTGGCCACTCAGTGTAAAAAAAAAATCCTAATTAGAGGTTAGCTTTAAAGTAAGCATTAAAGGAGTTGCAAAGTCCCAGCGTATACTATCCTGCTATGACATCACCACTGTAATAAGAATCACATGCTGTGGTTGTTTATTATAATGCAATCAAAGCTTACTTGAAAAAAAAAATCACTTTTATATAATGTGGGGAATGTAAGGTAGAAACAGGTACCCATCAGGTACCCATCTTCTTTGGTAAGGCTTAGCCTAGGGACAGGTTCCCTGTGGAGAATGGACAGTCTTGGGAGACTTTGGACACACCCCTCCCATACCTGGTATTGGGGAAAGGATCCTCTGTGCAGACATCCTTGACACCAGTCAGACAGGGAGCATCCCTCTTGAAGGTTATATCACCTATAAAGCAAACCTCCGGCAACCTTCCATAGGAAAGCCCTGTATTGCTGTACAGAAGTGCCTTGATGTTCCATATATGATTACCGCATTGTAATACTACTTATTATTTAAGATAAAAGAATAGGAAAACTCAAAAGAATTTGCTTCTATTAAATCACCAACACACCCTCAGCCTACCACAAACAGGTCCAGGATAGTTCAAAGTAGCTTCTTTAATCATCAGGAGCCTTTCAAAGCCCATTGTACCCTTAGCAAAACTACGTGAAGTTCGTCTTCCCCATGGACTCCAATGTTTTTTGCCAAAATAGTGATTTTGGCCATATTCCTATTTTGACTGACATTTATGGGCAGCTGAAATCTCTAACTTTCACTCATCTCTACTACTAAAACAGGCCAATAGTAGCTGCCCCTTTGTGGGCTGTCCCTGTATATGACACTCAACACACAGCCATATAAAATATAGAGATGCACTTTTGTCCTCCTGAACAGCAGGGGATCAAAATGCACCCTTTTTACAGCAAAGATATACAGAATTGTAGGAGACTTGAGGTCAGCGGGGCTCTTCTGCTCCATCTGTTTGCTGGATACTGTCATATACACTCACTGGCCACTTTGCCAGTACCAGGTTGGACTCCCTTTTGTCTTCAGAACTTCCCTAATTCTTCATGGCATAGATTCAACAATGTACAGGAAACATTCCTTAGAGAGTTTGGTATTGAAACGATATTGAAATATTGAAATGATAGCATCACACAGTTGCTGTAGATTTGTTGGCTGCACATCCATAATGGGAATCTCCCGTTCCACCACATCCCAAAGGTGCTTTATAGGATTGAGATCTGGTGACTGTAGAGGTCATTGAAGTCCAGTGAACTCATTATCATGTTTCAGAAACCAGTTTGAGATGGCTACTACCAGCAGGATAACGTGCCATGTCACAAAGCTAAAATGCTTTGTGAAATGTCACGTTATCCTGCTGGTAGTAGCCATCAGAAGATGGGTACACTGTGGTTATAAAGACATGGACATGCTCAGCAACAATACTCAGGCAGGCTGTGGCAATTAAACTATAGTATAGTAATAGGCTATATGTCATATTTACCTGATATAAAACTTGAGCGCAAAGATGCTATTCTTTCTCTTTACCATGAGCTAAAGAACCTCTTTTGTATTATTTTGCACAGCCGATAACGACCACAACTGGAAACTGGCCCATGTGACACTGAACGCTGATAGAAAGTTCCGTTACGTCTTCCAAGGTATCCAGGGGGATTCCACAACAACCAGCGGTGGCATTGTCATCGATGACATCACTCTGCCAGAACTGCCCTGCCCCAATGGCGTCTGGACCATCCGCAACTTTAGTCAGAGCCTCGCTAGCACCGTGAAAGGAGACCGCCTTGTCAGCCCTTGTTTCTATACCCCTGAAGGCTATGGTTATGGAGTGGGTTTATACCCTCATGGGCAAAATGGATCCACTTACACTGGTTACACTGGTATATCATTCCATCTGTGCAGTGGGGAGGATGATTCTGCGTTGGAGTGGCCCGTCTTGAACCATCAGTTTATCATAACAGTGTTTGACCAGGATCCAGACATTCGTCTAAGGATGTCTTCTAGCAGAAGCTTCACCACATCAACTGAACAGATAATTCTACGTAAGTACTGTAACTGGCGTGACCCCCCAAAAATTGTATATTAATTATAGCAGTCTCTTGGAGTAGACAGTCCCCCTGGGGGTTTTGGATAGGTAGTGGTGTAAGTCCACCGAGCACGACCTGTCCAAAATCTCTATTTAGACTGTTTCTGAATTGCAAAAAAAAACCCCCCCCCAATGAGATGCCACCTGAGGCGACTGCAGACCACAGTGCCTGGAAGTCGGTCATTGCGTGCAGGGGACAGCATGCTGCAATGTAAGATTTTTATACTTTGGGGCTTTTTAATGATAACATACACATCCAGTGCAGTGTGTAAATGATAATTTTTCCTGGAGTGTGGCTTTAAAGGAGAACTATGAGGGGAGTGCTTTTCACTCACCTCATAGTTCTAGCCGACCTGTGACAATGAGACTGTCACAGGTCGGCCCAGTAGATCGGGAAGTGAGCGAACACATACCGGCGTTCGCTCACTTCTCAATCCTGTCACGCCTCTCTGCGGTGACTACTTTACAACACACACAGGGACCATGGGGAACAAAAGTAGCCCCCCTCCAGTAGGAAGGACAGTGCCAGCACCAATTCAGAGATGATTGGAGGATCTACAGCCGAGTGATACACAAATAAGATACATTGTTGTTCATAGTGAAGGTCCTTGAATGCATTTTTAAGATTTAGCTCGTACGTTTTAGTGTCACTTTAAAGGAAAACTCCAAACAAAAGGGTTTCTTCCATTTTTGTCTGGCGAGGTAAATTAGTTTCCGTTTCTAGAGATGTTTTGTCCAGCAGCCAATTTAAAAAAAATATATTTTTGCATTTTGGGGAGAGGGGAACATGAGCACCCAAAAGAAAACAACACGAGAGAGCATACAAATTCTGTAGAGATTGTGTCCATAGTGGAAGCTGGACACAGGAGAGAATGCGGCCTTGCTAACTACAGTTATGTGACTTGTGTTGTATTTTAACAGCTCAGAATATATCTCGCTGGGAAAGACCCTCTAAAACTGGCACCTGGGATCCCTCATGTAACTGCTATCGGACTACAGATTTTGGGTGGACCACCTTCATTACCCACTCCAATCTACAGCGCAGGAGCTTCCTGAAAAATGATGATCTTATCCTGTTCGTGGACTTCGTGGGTAAGTTAGCTGCTTTCTCATCTCAAAGTTTTATGGCTATACCCTACATATTGTGTGTATATAAACCGTGTTTTTATATAAATATATATATATATTAGGGATGCACCGATACCGATACTAGTATCTGTGCCGATGCCGAGGATTTGGGCAAGTACTCCTACTCGCCCAAATGCTCCGATGTCTAGCCCTGCTTCGTGATTGGCCGGGAAGCCGGCTTCACGCTCCCTCATCACCTCATGACGAGGGAGCATGGAGCCGGCTTGCCGGCCAATCAGGGAGTCACTTCATTACACGGCGCCTGGCTTCCTGATTGGTCAGAAAACCGGCTCCATGCTCTCTCGTCACCTAGTGACGAGAAGCATGGGGGCGACTTCCCTGCTAATCAGGAAGCCGGATGGCGAGTCTTTACACGCCGTCCGGCTTCCCGGCTAATAAGGAAGCCTGGCTTCCGTAATGGGACTTCCGGTATCGGTATTTGGTATCGGCAAGAACCGGGAAAAATATATCGGTACTCGTACTCGATACTGAAAAACCGGTATCGGCGCATCAAGGCAAATTACAACACTACTTCCTGTCCAAATGAAATCTCACACCTTTTAGCATTCCTTTAGCAATTGAATTCCTTTAATCCCGTACCCGTTCATATTAATATTTTCTGACTGATGCTGAATATGCTGTAGTATAAATTTTCCTCTCAGTGAATATGCAGTCACACTCTGTGCTGGCAGAGCTGAGTAACAGCCACACCCCTCATCACAAGAGTCCCCACAGAGAGAGAGAGGGTGTGTCTGACCAAGTGCTTAATCCGAAAATTAAAATGGAGGTTATTATAATGTCTATCTAACTGCATATCTATTTCTGAGACTTCATGTGGGCTTGAAACTTTACAGCTTCCTGCATCACAAGTCTGCACATTGGACAGTGAATGAGCAGTATGTAAGTGTTCCATTAGCAGTCAGGCAACATAGTAAAATATATGTGTGTTCCTATACTGTGTATATATACTGTGTATAGTATAATGGAGGTGTTTGCATTTGCTACAGAAATGTGCCCAATCTCTGTGTTGCATGAAAAATGGCACCCTTGGTAGCTTTTTTTTTTAAAATTCAAAACGTCTTTATTGAAACGTATATAAGTATACAAAAAGACAAGGCCTTGATAGCTCTTTAAATGATAGAAATCAGTGGAAATATCTCATGAGGCATTTAAGGGGAACTCCAGGAAACTAAGGAGGACAGCAGGTGTTAAGTGTAAAGCGTTAATTACCTTATTACAGTGCTGTCCTTTGCCAGATACAGCTCTGAGAACTGTGCAGAGACCTCTGTTATACAGTTAGCTTGTATAATTAACACCTTACACCTGTCTCAGGTTTCCCTTTCTAGTTTTATTCCCCTGCACCTTCCAATACAGTAAACCTTAAAAATGAAATCAACCTCATAAAGTAGAACTGTATTCTTCCTGCTCTTCCAGATTTGACGCATCTGATAAAAGTTGAAGTCCCTATTCGTCCGGCTGTCCAGGCATATGATTTACCGCTGGATGTGGAGGTGCATGATAGGAAGAGGCGAGCCCTGGAGAACCCAGCAGATTCCAAAGATTATGCCATCCAACCAATGGGAACCCAGTGCGATGACAACCCTTGTCTGAATGGTGGAGCATGCATGGTTGAGAATGGCAGAGCAAACTGCAGGTATAGTACACTTGTATCATGTGACTTGCCAGAACATCTGCAGGCTGTATGTTACTTTTAAACAAGAAGGTTTTATAATAGTACATGTGGGCTCATCCTATGCTAGCCTTGGTGAAATTCAAACCTAAAAAAAGGTGAAAACACCCCCAAAGAAAGCAAATTCGAAGACTCAAAAAAATAAAGTATTACACCCCAGTGGGAATAGTTACTAACAAGTTACCATTTACTTAAACCTAAGTGAACTTGAACCCTAAACCTCAACCTAACACTTGAACCCATTTCCAAATTTGGTTTACCCCCTTAACTTGGTTTAATCCCAAATGTAACTTTTCAACTTTAGCTTAATCTTTACATCGAACAGCTCACTTGAAGATGCTATTGGCAGAGGCCAACCCCATCCCTTTGGACCCCATCCCTTTGGCCGGTAATTCTTAACCAGGGTTCTGTGGAGCTCTAGGATTCCTCCTGAGGTTACAAAGTGTTCCTTGACTCAAGGCTGATTGACCTATTGAATGGTGTCTGCCGTTGCTACCTGGCAAAAGCAGCAGCATGATACCAATTATCTTTTTTAGCTGTCTGTATGAGTGGCTGACCACCAGCGTAAGAAACATTTTCCTTATTGAACTCTGAGGGACTGGATTTAGAAAGGTTTCCCGAGACCTTAAATTATTTTAGGGGTTCCCCTGGGCTAAAGAGGATGCGAAAGGCTGCCCTAGGCTAACCCTTAATCTTAACCCCAAACATAACTGCTTAAAGGAGAACTATGAGATGAGTGATTTCCACTCACCTCATAGTTCTAGCCGACCTGTGACAATGAGACTGTCACAGGTCGGCTCAGTAGATCGGAAGGTGAGCGAACACATACCGGGTTCCCTCACCTCTCGATCCTGTCACAGCTCTCTGGCGTGACAGGGGAGGGGCTGGATTCCCCTCTCCCCGCTCCGATCTGCCAGCGCTGACTGGCGGAACGGACGGGGGAGGGGGTGGGTACAGCTGGCTCTGCCTCTAGATAGGCAGAGCCAGCTGTCACTCACGCAGCTGGGCGGATCCTGACGTCTAAGTCGGGATCCGCTCCGGCGTCTCAGTATACCGCGCGCTGTAGCTCGCGGTATACTGAGCTTAGGGTAACGGGAGGACGCTAGTTTGTGTCCTCCCGTTACCCTAAAGAGAACTATGGGGGAAAACACTGACCCCATAGTTCTCCTTTAATATGCTCATGAATCGAAAAGTAACCTAATCTCCTCTCTTAAACTAACTTGTAATGTGGCCCTGCCGTTATGCAAAAAGTAACTGAAGCAAGGCTTATCTTTAAAAAAGGAACCAGTGAGAAGTTTGTGTGACCCATGAGCTTTACACTTTGGTAAGTGTTGCCCTCCCTGTAGACTTGAACAGAAACTCTCTGTGGATCAGAACAGCATTTGGCAGTGATAACAGACAAAAAGTGAGCTAATGTTGAAACCTCCGTGCCCACATATGTAGACAAAGATGAATGAACAGGACATTGATGGGTATAAGCACATTGGATGGTTCATTTGCTCTACACAAATGATAAGTTCCATTATAACATTATGATCCATTATCAGTGTAAATAGTACTGCAAGCTTCCGTATTGTTTGCAGGCTGGGTATACTGTGTCAAAGAAAGGCAAATAAAAGAATAATTGTCTTTGGCAGCTTTTATTGTCTGTATGCCAGTAATACAGAGACATGTGTTCTAAAGTCTGCATCTCATAGGAGACATCTCTCTTATATGTGTTTGTGAGTGGACAATATTGACTTAATGACCACCCTAAGATTACATACTGTCAATCAAAGCATTTCCATCTTCTCTGGCCATTTCATTAATTAAAAGGCACAAATGAAGAGGATGTAAATCAAAAACCTTATCAAGAGAGCAACATGTATTTAATAAGTAAAATGACCTTAAATTGGCCTTTTATTGCTTCAGAACATAATCTATATTGACATCTGAGCGACGTCCTGGTCCACTCATTAGTTGGAACTTCAAGGGTTTAGCATCTTAGGAAGGCGATAAAAGAGGAAGGGGGTAGGAGTCTTAAAGGAGAACTATGAGGTGAGTGATTTTCACTCATCCTCATAGTTCTAGCCGATCTGTGACAATGAAACTGTCACAGGTTGGCTCAGTAGATCGGGAAGTGAGCGAAAACATACCGTCGCTCGCTCACTTCTCGATCCTGTCATGGCAGAGAGCCGTGACAGGGGAGTGACTAGATTCCCCCTTCCCCTGTCCGATCCTCCAGCGCTGACTGGCGGAACGGACGGGGGAGGGGGCGGGTACAGCTGGCTCTGCCTCTAGATAGGCATCCATTTCAGCTGCGGCGTCTCGGTATACCACTGAGCTTTGGGTGACGGGAGGGCGCTAGTTTGTGTCCTCCCGTTACCCTAAGGAGAACTATGGGGAAAAGCCCTGACCCCATAGTTTTCCTTTAACCATACACTGTTAGAATTTCATCTGACTTTCATCTGTGAATCGTCCAAAATACTAACCATGGGTGGCCCTGCTGGCACTACACGCCAAAAACAAACTTCAATTAAGAAATTGAAGGAGCCAGGTGGAAAATTGTCAGCCAGACAATCACTACAGCTAGTCAACTGCATTCACTGTTGGGGTGTTCTGACAGTCGTGGGCATCAGTTGTCAGGCTACAATAGCCGTCAGGAGAGATTCGTCCATCCATTCCATTAAAAGAGAACTATGGGGTAACCTTTTTTTTCATATAGTTCTCTTTAGGGTCATGGGAGGACATATACTAATGTCCTCCCATGACCCAAAACTCAGTATATAGCTGGCTATTGCCTGCAATATACTGAGAGCGCCACAGCCCGGACAGATCTCGGCAATACTGTTGAGATCCACCCCGCTGGCTGATTGATAGCTGGTTCTGCCTATCAAGAGGCAGCTATGAGACTGTCACAGGTCGGCTCAGTAGATAGTGAAGTGAGCGAACATATACCGGCGTTCGCTCACCTCTCGATCCTGTCACGGCTCTCTGCCGTGACAGGGGAGGGGCTGGATTCCCCCCTCCCATCCGCCAGCGCTGACTGGCGGAACGGACGGGGGAGGGGCGGATACAGCTGGCTCCGCCTCTAGATAGGCAGAGGCAGCCGTCACTCACGCAGCTGGGCGGATCCAGACATAATTGTCGGGATCACCTTCACCTGCGGCGTCTCAGTATACAGCTCGCTACAGCTAGTTTGTGTCCTCCCGTTACCCTAAGGAGAACTATGGGGAAAAGACTTAACCCCATAGTTCTCCTTTAAGAGACCACTTGACTGTTTCTATGTAGTTGCTCCCTCATTGCCCAATTGCTAGTAAGGATTCCAAGGCCAGCAAGAAAGCTATTTCAGAAATGTAAGAGGAAGGCTGTCCTTGGTGATTCTGCTGTTGGCGATATCTCACCTGTGTAACATGAACCCAAGACTCCAAGGTTGGTAAGAACAGAGTCAAGAACCATGATGTGCCATGTCGACTGGTCCCCAGGTAGAGAGATACAGAAAGTCAGAAGGTAACAGCCTACCATGGTTCACATCCAACTAAATTATCACATATCTGTCTTTATACAGGCTGAGGTTATTTGGTAGCAGGGCCATGGTTACCTGGTTAGGTATAAGGTTTGACTATTTATGTTGATGAGACCCATGCAGGTCTCTATTAGGAACTGTCTTTACATATGTAAAGCACTTTCATGATGTTCACATATTTACTCTTTGATGTATCTTTGTAGATGTGCACCCAGCCAGGCATTTATGTACACGGGTCAATACTGCGAGACGGCACAGCTGCACGGGAATGTCCTCGGCATGATGATTGGAGGAGCGGCTGGACTCATCGCTATGACTATTGCTATACTCGCTATAATGGGCAGAAGATAAATTCATTGTATAAAATTAAAAGGAAATCTTTGCAATCTGCCTATAGAAACATATCTTCCATTATTAAATGAAAAGAATGACACAAATGGTTGTCTGATGTCTGGTATTTAAAATGAAACAGATATTTGCTAAACCTAAACATAAACAGTGGAGCAATGTGGGTGTTCTAGGAATGAACTATTAGATGTTCCAGCAGTGAGACGCTGCTATTTTACAATGGCATTATGGATATCTCCCTGCATGGCTATGAGTATACCCTGTGTGCACAATGGCACTGAGGGGTCCATAATCCTTGGGGTCAGCCATGGTCAGCTTAATTTACCATAAGTATCAGTATTTTGTTACTGGATTAAGTAAGGCTGCATGTACAGTAAAAAAAATATACTGATCCTTCTGTATTTTTGTTTTCATACTAAGTGCTGCAGTATGAGCCAACATACCTTGTGCTGGCAGCACGCTGGAGGGCCAAACTGTTGCTCTCACACCCCACACAGCAGCCCAGGTCTCTAACAGTCCAACACTGCCCCTGCATAGCGCTCAATTTGCTGAATGCTGGAGAGCCAAACTGTCGCTGTCACACCCCACACAGCAGCCCAGGTCTCTAACAGCCCAACACGTTAACACGTTAACGTTAACATGTTAAAAGACAGTTTTGCACATAAAAAAAAAAGGATCTAAGAGGCTAAAACTGTCACAATTGCTTTGGCAAATTCCCCCCAATATCTCTCCAGCACTGTCTCCTCACAGACAATCATCTCTGTGGTCCAGTGCCAGTAGGGTTGCCACCTTTTCTTCAAGCGAAACTCTAGCGACGCGCGGACATTTTTTTTTTTGGAGAATGGGTGGTGGCTTATTCATATGTAAATATCGCAGTTGAGACTATTTTCGGTGGGGGGCCAGTAGCCCCTATCTTAATTTTGGTAGCCCCTGTCTGCCTGACATCTTGTGTCCGGGTTTCTGCTGCTATGAAACCCGGACACAGCATTCAAAACCCGGACTGCCTGGGTGAATCCTGAACAGGTGGCAAACCTAAGTGCCAGTCCTTTTCCAGGTTGAGCGGCATCCAAAATCTACACTTTAGCACTTTAAGGGTCTTTGTATTGCTTTACTAGAACATAATTGCTAATGAAAATCGGCACAAGAGAGAGTGTTAGGTGACAGGCACCTATCAGTATGGAAACATATTTAAAGTGAACTAAAAGAACAAATATTTGCAGGTCTGCCTGGGATGCAATGCCGTTTCCATAGACTAACATTAGACAGGATGACGCTCAGCTAGAATAATATCAGCTGTGTTTACACAAGCTGAAGACGCACAGTATTTTATTCTCCATTGAAATAAGATGTGAGGTGCACATGTCTTTTTCCTGGAGAGCTGTAGCATATATCACCTAGGGCAGTGGTGGCGAACCTTGGCACTCCAGCTGTGCCAAAACTACAGATCCCAACCTGCATCTACCTCTGGGGGTTATGTCTGTGACTGTCAGCCTTGCAATGCCTCATGGGACTTGTAGTTCCAAAACAGCTGGAGTGCCAAGGTTCGCCACCACTGACCTAAGGAATGCAGCTGCGAGATCCTTGCTTTCTTCACCAGCCGTAGCTCTCACATGGTGGTCCAACTCACTCTGCTGGACTTTATATTATGAACAATGCAGCAGGAACATTAAGACTCTCCGTGTCGGTAGTGGTGGGATATTCAGAAACTTTGAAGACATCAAGTGCACAACTTGACTCACCTGCGTGCACCCTAATTTGTTTTTAAGTGGACCTTTTAATGTGAAGTGGACTAAAGGTATGCACCCCATTCCTCCTTTAATTCATTTATATAACCTTTATACCAGAATATAAGGTTCAGTGAGTTTTTCAGAACTTTGAAGACATAAGAACCCATTGGACAACTTGGCCCACCGACATGCAACCTAACTAATTTGTTTTAAGTGCATCATTTCATTTTATCTAAAGTGGGCTAAAGGTATGCAGTCCATTCTTCAATAAATCAATTTATAAAACCTTTATGCCAAAAATATAAGGTTTCATCTTGATAGTGATGGGATATACAGAAACTTCGAAGCCATATGAATCCAGCAGACAGTTTGGCCCACCTGCATGCACCCTTAACTGATTTGTTTTAAGTGGACTATTTAATCGTATTTAAAGTGGACTAAAGGTATGCATACCATTCTTAAGGAGAACTATGGGGTAAGTTTTTTCCCCCATAGTTCTCCTCAGGGTCACGGAGGACATAAGCTAGTGTCCTCCCATCACCCAAAGCTCAGTATACCTCAAGCTACAGCTCGCGGTATACTGAGACCGCCGCAGCCGGGACGGATCCCGACATTACTGTCGGGATCCACCCAGCTGCGTGATTGACAGCTGGCTCTGCCTATCTAGGGGCAGACCCAGCTGTACCCGCCCCCATCCGTTCCGCCAGTCAGCGCTCGAGGATCGGAGCGTGGAGGGGGGGGAAATCCCTGCAGGGAGCCGTGAGTGACAGTCACGGCTCTCTGCAGGGACATGATCGAGAAGTGAGCGAGCGACGGTATGTGTTCGCTCACTTCCCTATTGAGCCGACGTGTGACAGTTTTATTGCCACACGTCGGCTCGAACTATGAGGCTGAGTGAAAATCACTCACCTCATAGTTCTCCTTTAATTAAACCAATGTATATATTTTATGCCAAAATATAAGGTTAAAGACATCCGTTAACCACCCTACTGCAATAAAACTGAAGAAATCCACCAAAACAATGTCTCTGAATTGGTTGACACCATATTGGATTAGTCTTCATTATGAACTGACACCCTCTTCCTGCTCGGATGGGTCAGTCTAAATGTGCCAAAATTAGGCCTCCATGGAATCCACCTTTCCCAGTCTTGGGCTGAACTGGCGATAAAACCTTTTTGCTACTGAGAGCTTTAACACCTTGCTGGCAGAAACCTCATTTGCATGAGATAATAGCCAACAATAGCTAAAGCACTTATTAGTAAAGTGATTTATTGACCCATGTAGCCTTAATGTGCCCTTCCCCACCTCCTGCTCCTATATACATTATATCCTATATATACCTTATATTCAAAACGCTGTACACAGTAGTTGTTTTCTAGCATCATAATTTATATATTTTATTTTAGCAACTCAATTGTGGTCCTTATGAAAATAGAAGAAACCAGAAAAGGTAACAGAATGCTCCATTGTAATTCCGTCATAGTACCTGCAGGGCCATAACTACAGATCACAGGGCTCCATAGCAAAAATGAGATGCAGGCCTCCCTGATGACCTCAGAATAACATAGACACCAGAATAACATAGATAACAGCAATGCTTTTTGATGCATTCTGCTATGTCTCATGCGTCAATAAACAGACGCCATTGATTCATTACTTGGAGTGCCGGTGTCTATGTTATTCTGTGATTATAGACGGTTGCCCTCCGTCGACTGCCGCAGCACCCGTCTTTTACATGGAACAGTGGTTTTGAGTGCGATGAGTTCATGGACTGCCCCCTGATGACCTCTCTCTGAGCTGTATGTAATGATACCAAGATCCCAAGGACTCCTCTTGTACATGTGAAGTTGTCTCTACACTGTAGACTTTACAGGGTTGTCGTCAACTGCAACCACTCCAACCCCTAATGATACAGCTTTTGAGAAAGCTGGCCAGATGACCAGTGAAACGTCTTCAAGAAAAATGCAGCAAGTCCTGTTGCCTTGACCTATTTTTAAAGATACGGTAATGTATTATCTTCACATGTTCTATGTTTCATTTGCCTCAACAGCCTAATGGGGCCCCCTTCCACCCTCAGGACCCATAGCAGCCGCCTGGGCTGCTATGGCTATAGTTACACCACTCAGTACCTACTTCCCTTTTGGCAACTTTTTGCTGAATTATGCATTTCATTGGAAACATTAGGATAAAAATGGACTAGAAAGAGTCAGGGGATGCCGAGTTTTATGACAGCATCGAAATGTAGAAAAGGGAAACTGCGCACATCAAATGGTTTTCCGCACAACAAGGTGAGTGATGCAGCGAAGAAAAGTTGATGTTTCAAGAATCTTGAGAACTTGAATCAGACCAACACATCATAAGCTCCAAAAAGGGCCATTTATTGTTCAAGGTATAAGCAAAGTTTTGGAGCACATGGCTCCAACATTAGCCATACAGTAATGACGGCAAGACTTCTCCTTATCTCAATAACATAAAGGGGAGGTGATCTGTGTGGTCCAGTAGACGATAACTTGGACAGATCTGACAACGCTGCTTGGGATTTCAGTGCAGTAGAAGCACTGTGTTGTCATCTCACTACAGGAAATTAGGAGCACACTAGATTTCTGGTAGCTCAACAGGTATTTTTCAGTTCTTGCAGCACTTTTAGGGAGACATAATGTGCATACATCGCAGAGAGAATTTTTGTGCCCAGGCATACACTTAAGCAGCTCATCATATAAGATATCAGTCATACAAGAAGTGCATTGTTTTCAATGAGTTGAGTAATCCACAGGTTTGCACTGTAAGGAGAGGAGCAGTATAGCTAGGGTTGCCACCTGTCCAGGATTCACCTGGACAGTTCGGGTTTTGAATGCTGTGTCCGGGTTTCATGGCAGCAGAAACCCGGACACAAGATGTCAGGCAGACAGGGGCAACCAAAATGAAGATAGGGGCTACAGCCCCCCCACTGAAAATAGTCTCAACTGTGATATTTACATATGAATAAGCCACGACTCATTCTCCCCCCCAAAAATGTTTGCGTGTCGCTAGAGTGTTCGGGTTTCGCTTGAAGAAAAGGTGGCAACCCTAAGTATAGCTCAACTATTGTGTAGTTGCATAGGAAGGAAGCACCAACTAAATATGTAATGAGCAAACACGGCTGCCCCCATGTACATATAGAATTACATATTATATAAAGGATTTTTTTTTTTAAACATTAACAAATATAATTATTTACATCAAACTGATCTCTTTTACAAGTAGATCATTAATCAATGAAAAGACGATACATTCCCTTTAAGTGTACAAGTACATGTACGATCACACACACAAATATACACCAGATAATTTTAGGTTTAACTTTCTAACATGCATCAGAGGAAAGATAACCTGATTCTGATTGGCTAGTATAAGCAATACAGAAACATCCTTTAGTCTTGATGAATGCAACAGAACACATTTATTAAGATTACAATACACTGGACTCTCAGTTATCATCACTTCTTCTTTATCTGGTCTTACTGGGAGCCTCAGAAGATGACATTGTTGTGGCCGTGGAGGTTTTCTGTGGAATAAAAAAAAACAGCTTTCTATTAGTATAATAACAGTACCAGCCAGTATTTATAGAGCTGTTTTATGTACTATAGACTTTTACCATATGTATTTGGATATTTCTGAAATAGGCAGGAAGAAGTCACAAATGTGTACTGTGGCATTGTGAGGCAATACCACGGTGTTAGGTGGCCTCAAAGTCACCCAGGGTTCTCAGCCAGAGGGGCTGAGTGGCTCCAGGAAGACATTACTGGTACCAGGAGAGAACTGCCTTTTCAGTTCTTTCTGGGTTTTCTGGATCAAGGTTGGGATCCTGGAGCCAGGAGATTTCTTAGAGCTCTGGGTGGGAAGAAATCTCCATTCCTGGGTCCATGCTTTGGTGGTGACCAGCACCTGATTGTGCACCTGTGTACATCCCTCCTGGAAGTGTGTGCTGGGATGTGTTCAGGGCCCCACCAGAGTGTCCTTGTTACAGTACTTAAAGTCCAAATCCAGACAGGAGAACCTTGCCAGGTTTAGAGCAGCAAACGAGCATGAGCCTCAGCTGCAAACCTTCATTCACGTAGGCTCTCCGAGTGTTAAAACCAAATGTATTTTCATTTCCAGTTGGTACAGCGCCCACTAAGCTTCTGGGCTGCTATAGGTGTAATCGCTGCAGGTCTCACAGACCCTAGATCAGTGGTCGAGTCTTCAACCGCCTCTGTTCATGGCCATTCACAAAGCAAATGGCCTCAGGCTTAATTTTGTGATTGGCCAGGAGAAGAAGAGGATGGAGAGATGACCAGCAATGCTGAGGTCTGTGAAACCTGCAGCACTTACATGCGTAGCAGCCCAAAACTACAGAGGGAACACTACTACTCAGACATGTACATGAAGTCGCTTTTAAATTTAGATAATAAGTCACACGCACTCCAATGCAATGCCAAGTCAACCTTTTTATTGACTGAGGTAGTGTAGCTGTAAGATGCTACCCTACCTCTGTCAATATAAAGATTGACTTGACCTTACTAGTTCCTTCAAGGGGACTGGAGTCCGGTCCAGTACTACCTGGTTCTGGTGGGATGAGTTTACCTCTACACAAGAATATCTAGATCTCTTGGTTTGAGACTACATGGTGTGTAGTTTGAGACTACATTATAGGATCCCCGATTTCCCACCCCACCCCACCTCTTGTATCCTCTCTTTCTGGGTCCCTTCCTCCCCCCTTCCTACCTATCCCCTCAGCTTTCCCCTCTTTCATATTCCCATACAACCCCACCTAATGTATGTAAATACTTACCTGCCCAATTGACATGACGCCTGTGAGGCAACAATAGTTCATCTACCCAAGTTAAATCACGGATGGGTGTTCTGCGCACTAGGCACGAGTGGGACTGCACCTAATGAGATGGTCCGGTTCCTCTCCTCCCACTGATGACTCTTCAGATGTTTAGGCGCCCACTGTGGACTTGCACAAGACCCCCCCCCGCCCCCCAATGGTCTGAAGTCCTGTCCGAACACAGGCTTTTATAATGTCATTGAGGGCTTTATATAGGTATATATGCCTTAGGGTTGTTGTAGTGTATATGTACGGTGGCTGCGTCCACTCCTTTTACGATGGGAGTTGTATACCCTGCTCGATACCTTTGCATGTCATTTTGAAAACTTGTCAAATAAAAGAATTTATAAAAAAAAAAAAAGATTGACATGGCATTGCATTGGAGTGCGAGTGACTTTCTATCTAAATTTGTATGTGTTTTGCGCAGGCATCTGCTGTCACTGTCACCCTGCTTTTTTGGGCTTTTTTTTCCAGTCATGGGTGCAATGGGATACAGTTTGTTTCAAGTGAAGTCGTTTTTAACATGCAGAAGAGAGCCTGCATACATGGAGGTTATGGCATGTTCACTGCTCTAGACCTGGTAAGGTTCTTAGATTTGGAGTTGGGCTTTGAAGCATAAACCTAGTCAAATGTTTTCCCTTTCCTTTTGACACCAGGGCAAGAAATGGATGTAGTAGTCTTCACCAGGACAGGAAGGCATACATAGCACTAAGGACATTTCAGGAGAGCTATCCTTTCTCTAGTGTGCTTTACCGATCCACCTCAAAATACCATCTCTGGGGTGCATCACTTTGACTCTAAAAGAAGGAACAGCATCAGGCACTTCACAAGGAACTCTTCTTTTTATTCCACATTCCAATACATCCACCATAAAACAGAGTGGGAACAGTATCAGAAAAAAAACACAGCCAGGCCATGTTTTGTATCTCATATTATCTCAAGCAAAAGGCTAAATGACACTCTGAATCCTGCATAAGAAAAGTACTTATTCTATTACTTATGAAGCCCCTCATGCCGTGATCCATCTGGTGAAGTAAAAAGGACTTTAAAGCACACTCTATTGTAGTGGTCAGTCAATTACTGAAAGTGTCCCGAGCAGAAACAGGCACCACTCTACAAAAATAACATGGAACTAAGAGATGATTCCTGCATCCCAGCAGTCTTTTAACCACAGAATGGAGATGCTATGTGTAGCTCTGTTTGGCAATTAAAGCAATACTCAAAGAAAGGCATATATTCATTCATAGTGAGACTATGGGGTTGATTTACTAACCTTATAAACACACCACGAATGTGTATACACCTCTGCAGTGTGTTCCCTCCCAGCATGATCTATGGGTGGAATCTAAACACCTTTGTAATGTGTACACACCCAGCAGGTGTGTTGTGCAAAGCCCTGAATGAATTCCAAGGTGATGTTGGGTAAATTAGCTCTATGTTGTGTTGCTTGCGTTGATGAATGCAAGGAATGTAAATGCATGAGCTAACCATTTTTGTCTAAACTGTGAAGCAGCATTATATATGCATCATGTGCATGATTTTTCCATATATGGCATTAGTGGAAATATGCTTTTAGAGACTTTTTGGTTGATAAATACGTTTTGCTGTGTGAAAATCACACACACCTGGTGTGTGTGTGTGTGTGTGTTTAGGTTAGTAAATCACCCCCTATGTCTCCTAGAAACCCCAGGAGAACATGCAGAAATAAGCGTGTACAGTACTTGCTAAATGTACTCCAACGTCCAGCCTCTGAGCAGTCAACTTATCCAACATATGGAACATTCGGTTCCCTGCTGCAATTCTTATAGCTCTGACATTGAAAAACACATCCTTATTCCATACTCAACTTTACAAATAAAACAAGACTGGAAACTTACAGCCAAGGATCTCTTGTTGAAGAGCACCTCCCGCACCTAAATGTAGATAGAACAACAGTTACATTGCAATATTGCTACTAACTGGTGACTTATATCTGTTCAATGATAGGAAGACAGCCATGCATGTGTCAAAGCATCATACCTTCAAAAAAGATATCTAGGTCTCGTTCACACCAGCCCTGTTGGACTGCATTGGGCACCATTACTCAACACAGTTCCAACACATAGACAAGGAAGTTTGGCTTTTGTCCTATTTCTTCATTTCACACCTAAAATAATTGACCACTTGAACGCATGTTTAGTCGCATGAGGATTGCTTTACGGAAGACAACCAAAAGACTAGAAGCTGCTTGGATTTTAGTTGAGATGCATCTCCAGTCTTGGAAACCCTTTAACTATGGTGAGTTTTTTTCCTGCGGATTCACTAAAACACTCATGAAAATAGAAAACTGGTCTGGTCTGTTTCTGTAGACTCACACCTCCAACCTGCAATCCTATATTCAAAATGTTTTTCAACACTGCTTCCATTTTGTCAGTGAAATGTTATGTTTATTGTACATGTCTTCAAAGATTGTATGGCAGATGAAGTTCAATGTCGATAAATGCAAAGTAATGCACTTTGGAGTTAAAAATAGGCAAATGGACTATACACATATGGGTGTGTCACTAGGGAAGTCAGAAACGGAGAAGCATTTGGGGGTCATTATAGACCGCAGATTGAAGAACAGCTCGCAGTGCCAGGTTGCTGAAAACAAAGAAAGCAGAGTCCTGTCTTGCATTAAGAAGGGAATGTATAGCAGGGACAAGTCTATAATTTTGCCACTTTACAGATCATTGGTTCGGCCTCATCTGGAGTACGCAGTCCAGTTTTGGTCACCGGTACTCAGAAAAGATGTCCTTGAGCTAGAAAAAGTCCAGCGGAGGGCAACCAAACTCATTAAGGGGTTGGAGGACCTGAACTATTAAACAGGGTTGTTAAAATTATGTTCTCTTTGGAGGTTAGGAGATTAAGGGGGGACGTGATTTTCTTGTATAAACCGTTCAATGGTGACAGCAACATTATTAACAAACTCTTTACGGTTAGTGCCGTAACAAAGACCAGAGGTCACCACCACAAATTGGTGGAAAAAAAATTTCAACACAAAGGGCGCAAGGGGTGCTTCACAGTTAGAGCGGTTAGGGTCTGAAACTCGCTGCCGCAGGGAGTGATTTCAGCGAAGAGTGTGTAATCATTCAAGAAACTCCTGGATGAGTTCCTTGGAGACCGTAACATACAGGGGTACAGGTACTCCTAAGAGCAAAATCACACATGGACTCATACACACGCACACACCAGCTCAAACATAAATACACACACACAATAGGTTGGACTTGATGGACTTATGTCTTTATTGTCTTTATTCCTACAGGGACCTCATCATTTCACTGTATATATATACATTATATACCCATTTATATTGCACTATATATATATATATATATACTGTATGTATATATGGGACTGCATTAAAATGGAAAAACAGCATTAAATATCTGGTACATTATTTCTACAAATGAATATCTTTATCCATTGGTGAATATGTCAAGCTTACCTTTTTTTCTGTGATGCAAGTCAAAAATATGAAGAAGCCCTGTGAAAAGGTAAAAATATATCAGTAACCGGTTGGCACATTAAAAGGTTAGTCAACCCAAAACTGATATTGGAGATTTTATGATACCTGACAGTTTCTTATATCTCTCGAAAACTCTATTGGCGAGATCTATCCTCTAAGTTGCTTGGCCTGCATACTTTTTTTGCCCAAAATGAGAGTTTCCCACCATCCCTTACAAATGTTTAAAATGTTATATTATGGAGAATGTAACAGGAGAAGCTGGGTCACCCAAAGGCAGGTGGGAACATACAAAACTCACAGAGGACAGGAGAAAGAGGTTAGAAACAGTGAAGAGAATTCATTGGGCCACACAAGGTGGTTGGGAATGGCCAAAGCTTTCAGGGGACAGAAGAAAGAGTACAGGGCCAGTGGTGAGATTTCCTTACTTCTGGTCCCGATAACCACCTGTCTCCAAGACAGGAAGTGAGGGGACATTTGCCAATGACAAAGCAAGGAGCAGTTAATACCTGAAAAATGTTTAATCCCTTCCCTGCTCTCCTTATTGGGGAGTTTTATCCTTGCTTTCTGTACTGTACCAGGTCAAGAAGTGATGGGGGAACGTACAGATCGTTCATGTCCTAGCTTTATCCAAAGCAAATAAAATGTGTTGGTTGAGGAGTGGGTGTTCCCAGGCAGACCACCCTAGTTAATGCCCCATGTGATGCTGAGCCTCCATGATTTGAAGTGAAATTCAATGAATGAAATAGACAAAAGTCAGGAGCAGTGTGCACAGAGGCTTTCAACAAATAAAACTTTAAATTTACAAAATGTTTTTTTTGTGTAAAATAGACCAGTGATCCAACTACTGGGGGCATGGACTGCAAACATATAATAATTTAAATTTGAAAGTTTATTTTATTATCTAGTAGATTTAAACACAATCACTAAAATATTAAATAAGCTATAATGTGTTCATTAACATGCAACATGTAATTTTAAAAGTTGTTCTCAAACTTTTTAACTCTGCAGCTTTCATAAAAGAATACCTGCTGATACTGCCATAAAAAGCCATGCTTAGGTACATCCTGTTAGAGGGTGGCAATTGTCTCATGATTGTGCTCCTGCATTGTCACCCTGTCACATGCACCCCTGGTTGAGACTACAATCATCTGTGCCGACACACTCTACAGACATGATTCACCATTGTGACTATCAGGAATCAGCATTGATGTGTGGTTGATGCTAGCGTGAGTGCATGTAGACAGCAAGTGGCTGAACGAGGCTGGAGGACATCAGCAGCTCTAAGAAAAGCAATGGCAATTGTTTATGATACAAAGTGCTTCAGCAAATGTCATTCAGTTAGGGTTTGGATCTACTTTAAACACCTGACTATTGCAACTCCCTCCTCATTGGCCTACCTCTACACAGACCATACCCCCTTCAGTCTATAATGAATGCAGCTGCTAGACTCATCCACCTAACCAACCGCTCAGTGTCTGCAACCCCCCTCTGCCAATCCCTGCACTGGCTTACATCCTCCACCCCCCTCTGTCAATCCCTGCACTGGCTTCCATCCCCAACCCCCCTCTAATTATATTGTAAAGCGCTACGCAAACTGGCGAACTATAGCTACGCTATATAAACTGGCGCTATATAAATCCTGTATAATAATAATAATAATAATAATAATAATAATAACACTAATGTTTTGAAATGCAAAATAAATCATATTAGTTATTTTTTTAGGGATAGTATCTTACCTGAAAAGCATTCATCCCAGCAAATCCATAGGTGAAAACTTGTCTTGTCATATTGTCAAGATCCGTTAACAAGGCAAACCCAAAAGCCCAGGTCAACCCAAAGACGGGCGTTAATACCACGACGGCCTTCATGATGCTCTTAGCAGTTTCCCTTTCATCTGGTTGGGTCGCTTCCGAAACCGATGGTCGAGACAACTTGGCTATCACTACCAACAGCGTAAGGAAGTTAAACATAATAATGGATCCAGCTGGAACTGCAAAGGCATAGATAGCTCCACTTTCTGGGTTCAACCAGCACAATTTTTCATGGCGGTACTTGCCTTTTGGGTAATAATACAAGAGTGTGCCAGCGGCAATAACGGCTGGGAAAAAATAGCCAGCAGTGAATGAGAGAGAGACAAAAACCGTCTTTCGTAGATGGTGGAACACAAAGAGTAGCTGGTGGAGAAGCATTACACTTTGGGCGAAGGTCCAGAAGAAAAGGGCCAGGTAGAAAAAGTGGTTTAGGAATGTTATCGACAGGCAGATCAAATGCTTGGTGATCACCAATGGAAAGGCGGACGACAAGAAGAACACGTCTGCACAGAGCAAGGACACTGCAATGTTTATTAGAGAGATGTGTCGGAAATAGGAGATGTTGGTCCTTGTAACCGTCTTCCACACAAAGCCTTCAATGAAGATACAGATGCAAAGGGAGAGTATGGAAACCCCAAGACCAGCATAAGTAATTTCCTCAATTAGCATCAAAGGTTCCACATTGATTGACATTAATACAGCAAAAGAGGTTAAGTGGCTGCAACTGCAGAAGGTGGTATTAGTGTCAACCCTTGATGTACATCCAGCATCTGACCAAGACCCACCAATACCTGGTAGAGAGAAGTCCCAGAACACACAGTGCTGAGAATACCTTGCTTCAGATGTATTTACTATGAAGGACATTTGGATATTGGACGAAACATAGCTTGAATCTGACAGCTTTATAGAGGTAGTCTGCACAATGCTGTTTAGCTGTGAATCATTGCTCTTACCAAACATACTCGGTAAGAGGTTTCCAATGGTGCTGAAGACCACGCTAGTGATCTTGAAGTCCTGTTGTTTAAGGAGCGATGATATTGTCTGCTTATCTATTGACATGCTCACCCCAAGATGAAGGGCAAAAGTCTTTGCATAGTCTTCGCCCACTCTTCCTTGCTCAAAAAAACTGCCCTTCAAGTGGATATTTTCAAGGTCAATCTCAAAGCTTTCATTTTCTGTTTTCAGGAGCTGGCTGAAGGTTTCCACAGACTGCAGGACTTTGGAAGCTGGTGGACTTTTCGAGCTCCTCCACAATGAGGAACAGCCGGGATCTGTGAGGTTGCTGGCAAGCGTGAGGAACTTCTGCAAGGAAACACAAGAAGCCATGTTTACAATATATATATATATATGGGAGCTGTTTTACCCACCAAATGATTTGTATTCCTGTCCATTCAGTCCTTAGATTACACAGCTCTCCCACACAGCACAGCCCTGCCTGGCAGGACACAAGACTGGATTTCTATCTGCTATAGTTGAATAACACTTACTGGCAGGGCCGGATTTCCCACAAGGCCTCCAAGGCCAGCAGGGAGCAGAGAGGAGGCAGGGGTGTGGAATCTCCCGATGCTTGGGACATGCAGTTGTTTTCCGGCCCTGAGTAAATCTGGTCCTGCTTACGGGCCTTGTCTTTCCCCAGCCTGTAACTGGACAGTGCTACTGTACAGATCATTGCAAGAGGCTGATTCCAATTCAGGTACTTACAAAGCTTCAATTTTAACAAAAATACTTTAAAGATGTATTGATGAACACAGTGCTGCATTATTTGTGTATTTATATTTGCCTGTTGTTTAGCAATAACTTTAAAAAAGGTGCAGACATTATTTCTAACATATGAGTTCAGGGATTGCACATTTAGTCCTTGTTTAAATGGACTGCCCTCTGACTATCAATTTGTGGTAGAGCAGTGGCTATTTGGGGTTTAGAAGGCAATACTGTCATCCTGAATACTATTTTTCCAGCAGGTATTCTTTGAACTACAGGTCCCCACCTCTTCTTTCAGGTCACTGTGAGGTTTCTACTGCTGTCTGTATCTTCATTAGAAAGATTTAATCTCACTTCATGTCCTTGAGACAACAGGAAGTGAAAGGAAATCTACCCCAAGGAAGGGAAATTCACTCCTGTCTCCACTGAAGCTTTATCACCAATTCTTGTTTCCGCGACAACCCATAATTTTCAAAATCCAATTGTCACAGGGACAGAAAGTGAGGTGAAATCTTCTGAACAGGGACACACACAGCAAAACAAACTTAACAGGGGGTTATCCTTTCCGTATGATATCCAAAACCAAAAAAAATATTTTGGCTGGAGTTACACTTAACAAATGTATCTGTGCCAACTTGCATACAAATTCAACTTAAGAACAAACCTACAGTCCCTATCTTGTTCGTAACCCGGGGATTGCCTGTATATTTTGTGCTGCACCGTGGCAATGTATACTGCACAGTCCAGTTGCAATGTTAACTTTGCAGCGAGGGTGCCTAAAATCGGCTATCAACCTTTTGAATTTACCACCCCTCAGGCGTCCATCTAAATGAGGCCTAAGAGAACAATATTGCAACTATCTTAATAAGTGAGTGGCTGCCAGAAATAAGCTAGTTGATTTTTGGTTTGCCACACATTGGGCACATTTTAACGGAATGGTAGAACATGACACTGTATAGGAGAATCTAATCTCCCACCCTTGACTAATTATTATCCAACTGACAAGGCATGCAATCCACTGCAAGCTCATACATGCACTAGATAGAATGTTCATGAGAAAATGCACTGACTCATCCTACTGCACAGTCATGTCTTCTAACGTGACACATGGCATGGTAGTAAAGATTGACCAATTACCGTTACAACTCTTGTGTCGAATGTGCTGTTCTGGGAGGCTGCTATGTTGGAGATGGATCCCAGGATGTTCACTACAGCTGACACCTCTGCCTCATTACTAACAAACGTCCCACTGCTATTGGACATCTGTTGGATAATATCTGGAACTTTAACCTGAGCATTTCCAAGACCTTGCTCCAGGGCCTGTAAAGTGCAAGAAAGCAAATGAATTCAAAGTGATCCTGCGTCTGGATCATACACCCCAAAGTATTTACAGATTCTAAACAAGCAAATAAAGCATGCTAAATCAAGCCCGCCTTCATCTCTGTATCTATAAGCACTGTGGAGAAACTCCTTTTCAAATTTCACAACACAGGAACTGAAATCTTAGCTATTTTCTATGAGAAGAGTATCTAGGCAGCCTGACAGCCCTCTAATATAAACACACAGTAGGTGTTTCAAAGCTCTAAAATGGCTGAAACCTACCTTAGAGTCTTTGTTGTGATCTTTATGGGCCGGTGCACACCTAGGCGACACCTCACTGCGCGGCAATCGTGCACGATTCCGCGTGGATTGCCGCAAGGTCAGGAGTCACCTAGGTGTGCACCAATCGCGCTGTGGGTGCCATTATTTTCTAATGGCGCCCCAGTCGCACTGGGCGGATTGCGCGTTTTTTTTCTGCGATTGCTGCGCCATGCAGGACCGCGCGATCCCGGATTGCTTAGGTCTGCACGGGGCCTCAGGGTCTTTAAGGCTAGGTTTACACCTAGGCGATTTAGCCGTGCAATATCGCACAAAACAGAGATTTGCATTCAAGTCTATGTAAGCTGTTCACACCTTTGCGATTTGTCCTGGGGTAGAAATCACCTGCAAAAAGGTGCAGGAGCTATTTTCGAGCAGTTGTCGCACGATTTGGGTCCCATAGACACCTGGATGTATTGAGAATTGCACAAACAGAAATGCGCGACAACCGCACGAAAACACCTCATCAGCTCCATCGCCTAGGTGTGAACCTAGCCTAAGATAACTTCACAATACAAGCAGCTACATTTTTGGCAAAGATTAGGAGGTTGATTCACCATTTTGGGAAAATGCCTTGAAATAAATAGGAAAGAGGAAATCAAGATATTTTTGGTGGTTTTTAGGGCCCATTCACACCACCTCCAGATCACCTCCAGACCAGACCAGATTGTTTCTGGACTTAAAATGCATCCCAATGTTTCCCTGTGCTCTTCTTGTCCTCAGTTCACACCATCACAGTCAGTTCCAGACCAGACAAGAAAAATACTGCGTGTCACATTTTGTCTAGTCTGGAAGGCACCGGAACGCATACAAACGCGTCAAAAACGCACTGGAACTCAACGCAATGTGAAAAAAAAAACATTTTTCTTTGGCTGGTTTGGATGATCTCACCACCCCTGGACTTTCTGCTTCTCTGGAGAGAGAGATTTGTGAAGATAGGAACCATGATGGCTGAAGTGGACACCGAATTCTTTGTAGAACTTGTGGAAGCCTGCCCAGAAATGTATGATCCGAGGCATGGGCAATAATAGGAAGATGGACAAATGGAGAGGCATTGCTGCCCAGGGTGTCCCACCGTGCAGAATAAGGCATGGTAGGTCAGTAATGGGTAAGATCAGGGAGACCACAAGTAATGTTGGTGACCAGTCCTTTGCCCTTTGCCTGCCTTCTTTCGGGCACAGCTTCCAGAGTTCAGTTTCCCTTTAAATGGCTTCATAGGGTTATAGAAGATTCTTTAAAGTATCCCGGACCAGTGCAAAGGACACCAAAGTACACCAAATTAAATCAAATTAAATCACCCTAAATTTACCCAAAACTACCCTCTAGGTTAACAACATAATAAATAATAAGAAACATTTCAAAGCTAATTCCACCTAAGTGCTCAATGAGCAAAACTGCTTCGGAGAAATTCCCCCAGAAATTCCCCCAATTTTGCCAAAATATCTCTGCTTATCCCTTCCAGGTGTCATATTTTTCATTAATACATTTCATATACAGAGCTATAATCAGTCCTCTGTGCTGGGTGTTACCTGAACACTGTTTAGTGCAGCCTGTATTTGCTCGCTGATACAGTTATCTTGCACACTGAGCCACACTCCGTCTGTCGAGCAGTCCCGGGTTACGAATCCTGATTTTCCCAGAGGACAGACTGCTGATGCAGACATCCCTGCTCTCGTCACGTTCCAGATAACACCGCCGCTCACATTGACGCTGCAATATAGATCTGCCGCTAGGGTAAAAACAAAAACATCCATCACTGCAAACTTCTGCACCGTTAAACTGTTACTTTATAAAGTCAAACTATATATCAGGGGCAGCGTGTTGGGTAAGTACTCTGCGTGTCTGATTTGCACCAGGATTGTAGAGTCCCTTTAGCAGGCTTCATCGTCAATGCTAAAGCCTGATGAAGGGACCCTGTGCGGTCCCGAAAGCGTTTGTTTGGTCATATGACAAAAAACTTCAATATATGAAGCTTTTGCTATCTTAAAAGGACTGGTGTGCTGGTGACATTTCTACAATTTTGCTGACAATCGCGGCACCATCCGCAGTCACTGCGAGCACCCCCCACTACAAGGGACATATCGGTAAGGAGTGCGACAAGGATAGTACTGATTTGCACCAGGGACACTGAACTCAATTCACAAAGCTTTTACACAAGGATAGGACTCTCTCATTTAGCCATGTGACTGTCATTTTCAAATCTCATTGGACTCCACTGAAAACAACCGTCACTTTAAAAAAAAAAAAAAGTAACTTTATTCTTAATTTTGTTTTTGTTTGTCTTTTATGGGAATTAATTTTTTCTTGCCAATATTGAGTTTGTTTGATCTCCTTGGCATTTTGGGGTGCCTCAGCCTAATTTTTTTCTGAGCTATCAGTATGGGGTGTTGGTTTGCTCCATGTACATTTAATGCACGTACCTTGTATCACAGTCACAGAAATTGAATTTGATTTCTGCTGGCCAGCCTTGTTTATGAAGGTGCAGGTGTAGTTAGTGTCGTTAGTAGGGCGAGGAGGAACCAACGTGTAACACCTGGAAAACGTCCCCCAAACTGCCAAGAAGAAGAAGAAGAGTTCCAAATTTATTCTGTGCCCCAAGTATACCCCAAAATCGTTCCAACAGGATCCCACAACTGCATATCATGTGCTTTATTCATTAAATACATTTTCATGTCACCCAACATAAACATCCTATGCCCATAACCCACACATATAAAATGTATACGAGACATTTTATATAAATTTTATGTAATGTAAAATGAGACACAAAACAGCAATTTGAAGGCACTTATTTTAATCACATCTACTATATAATACTTCAACCCAACTCCATCACAAGGTCTCAGGGGCACATAAAGAATGACAGCACTAAATGTCACTTACACCTAAAATATAACCCAAATTTAAAGTCAGAAGAATCACATCTATTAATGCCTCATTCACATGGCTGATTCGAGCCCAACAACGCCAAAGATTGATGCGGCTGGGATGACAGATGTGTACTATCAGCCGAACAGAGGAAGCCTGAAATCAATGACGGGCTGACAGGCTGCAGCTGTCTCTGGCTGTTAGTATGTATGTGCACGTCCAGCGATAACATACGACTTGGGACAGATGAGCCGCTGTGAACGCACACAGTTTGAGTCCAGGACCAGGGGCGTACCCACTGCAAGGCAAATTATGTATTTGCCTTGGGCGGCACTTTCCAGAGGGGCAGCAAATACACCGCCCCCAAACCAGTGAGGCAAGCCGGGCTGACTGGGCTACACAGAATCAGACAGAGAGATGCTGCCTGGTCGGCTCCGTATAGCAGGTGTAGGAGAAGCAGCGTGCGGCTCGGGGCTGGCCATAGCATGCGATCTGATGGTGGGATGTCCCGGGGGGAGGCTGGGAGCTTCAGGGGTACTGATGCCACTTAGGGCTGCAGGTAAAAGAAGCAGCACATGTGTGCAGGGAGAGGAACCCTACACAGCCCACCTGAGACCCCGCACAGTCTACCATAGACCCCGCACAGCCCACCATAGACCCCGCACAACCCACCTGAGACCCCACAAAGCCCACCATAGACCCCACACAGCCCACCACAGAACCGACACAGCTTCAGACGCTGGAGAGAAGCTGATGAAGCAGATCTCTGCTTCATCAGCTTCTTCAGGGGGGTCCTAGGTGACATTAAGGGTCTTGGAGACCCCTGATGTCTCCATAAAGAGGCCCTGCCACATCTTTTGCTATCACATAGGGGGGTTTCTTAGCCCCCTATCTGATAGCAATAAAGTTAAGTGAAAAAAACAAAATAGGAAAAAAAAATTAAGTTTCCAAAAACTTTTTAACATTACACATAAAAAAGAATAAAAACAAACAAATTTTTTTTAAAAGCCCCCACCCATACATGCACGCATGCAAACAAGCGTTGGGTGCGCATACGTGCGAAAACGACGATTGTGCCCATTATGCCGCACATGTTACATATCTCCGCGAACGTCGCAGTGAAAGCAATAATTTTAGGGCCACCAATCACTGATAACACTAAACTGATGAGCGGTGAAAGCTTTTAAAGTGTCACCTATGGTCAATTCTGGGTATGGTAGTTTTTTGCAATTTCGCGGGTGCGTGCAATTTTTAAGCACGACATGTTTGGTGTCTATTTACCCGATGTGACCCCGTCTTTTATATTTTACAAAAAAATTGGGTAATAATAATTTCTTCCTAACATAATGTAAAAAAAAACTTGTATTTTCCAAAATCTTCAGTAATTTTTCTGAAATATAGTAAAAAATAAAACCCCGCAGCGGTGAATAAATACCACCAAAAGAAAGCTCTATCTGTCCCCAAAAAATGGTATAAAATTCATTTCAGTACAGCGCTGCATGACGGAATAAACGTCAGTCAAAGTACCGCAGCGCTGAATACTGAAAAATGGCCTGGCCAGGAAGGGGGTCTAAACACCTGGTCTTCAAGGGGTTAAACAGGAAGGGTTGGTGGAAATTTAGATTGCGGAGTTGTGCCCAACTTTAGTCTTGCCTTGAGGCAGCACAAAACCAAAATACACCACTGTCCAGGGCCACTCATCTGTCCCTAGCTGCATGCAGCCGATGGATGTGTAAATAGAGGCAAACAGGTGTTGATAGCTGAAACCCCCTGTCACCCCGTAATTGATTTCAGGTTTCCTGTTTGCGGCTGATAGCACACACACTGATCCTTCCTGGTGCACAGCCCTAATTAGCCATGTGAATGAGGCCTTATGTGTAAAATATACTTCCTATTTGAGTAATTCCTCCTGCATGTGGAAGGATTAAACAAAACAAGGAGCTTTATGTCAGGCCATAGCAGTCAGCAGGGGCTTTCCCATAATGAGGCAACATCTCATTGGGGGGCTGAGTGAGGGGGGAGATGGCAAAAAAACCTTGACAGGGGTCTTGCCTACCTTATCCAAAAATAGAACAAAGAAAAGTTTTGAATATATATACACTTTAATACAACAATGATGTCCACATTACTTTCCAAAGGATACAAAAATGTAGTTGTGCTCATACTGCTGCGGTGCCATGAAAAATAATGATTTACTCAACCAATACAATAGGCCATGCAATACAGCTGGTCCGTGTGACTGCATTCTGGCGCTCATGGACACACCTGATTCCTGCCGGCTCCGCTTGGAGGCTGTGAAGTAGAATTATTCGATATCTCCCATGTAGGACATTGTGACCAATCATGTTCTTCTGATCCACTGATGATCTATTATTGCCAGTCAGGTACAACCTATGCACATTGCCATCTTCTTACTAACGTCTTAACCACCTGTAGACTTGTTCACCTGAACAAAAGTCATGAAGACCATTTATATAGGCTTTTCCCTTGCTAAAAGCCTCACTAGAGTGTACTGTCCAGGAATAGATGCTGAGCTGATTAATGTAGGGTGCAGAGTCATGACATTTGTATGCTCCTCCCATACAGAACATCACCTAGGTGGGGTGATGTTCTGGATAACAGTAAATGTCACATAAATTACTAACCAGGTAATGCAGCCAGTGCTACGTTGTCATATGTCCAGGTGACATTATAGTTCTCGTCGTCATAGGGCACACAACACTCCAATTGTAGCCGAGATCTGTCCTGGGCAGTGAGGCTCTTCTGTAGTGGGTTGATGGTGATCTCAATTGGAAGGAAGCTGACATTGACTACTGCCATGGCCTCGTGCACCAGGCTATCATTGGAGAACTGGCAGGCATAGGTCCCTGGAACAAAACAAACCATTCGTTTCTGCTAATGAATTATTATTAATCATCTGAAATGGGAAATTAATTTGGTACCTTGGTGTTTATATATAAAACAAAGTCTCCAGAGCTTCTGTGCTTTATATTGTAACATAAATTAAACCATAATGAAATACAGGCATTTGTTTGTAAGGAATACTTCCTGTAACCCAATGTGCAAGCTGGATTTTTTCATATGTTGAGTTATCCATCTGAGAATGGTCTTCTATCTGCTCCTAAACATCGTACACACCTGCTGCAGACCCAATGTGAAGCTGGCCCACTGTTCACTATGTGCAAGTAGGGGCATAAGTGCACCACACACACACACACACACAGAGCCCCATGTGAACCATAAGAATCATGCAGTGGTGAGTATATCAAGCTCAGAAGGTGAGCAAAAAATGGACTTGTGAAAATTAGAGGGTTTTCATCCCTGGCAGAGTCTTTATAGGATATTAATTATTATTTGATGTGTGTCCACTCTGAACCCAATGACTTCCTTATCCTGGCACCTTGAGATTTTTTGTTGTTGTGAACATCACACGTGAGTCTTACCAAGAACAGTACATTTTGCTTTGTTAGGGATCACATACAAATTGCAGTAAACACTGTATGCTGAGTGTCTGGTTTCTAACAGTTGTTCCATAAAGTGTCTGGTTCAATTCAACCAAACGCCAGCAAAAATGAATTCCTAGCTGACAAGGTGACCTGCAGGAATTGGTAATGTTTAAAATTTTAGGAGATTTAAGGGGAATTGGCCCATTTCAGGTACTACACATATAGTATTATTGATCAGTAGGGCAATTCTGTTGGGTTACCACATGGTGGATCAGGGTCTACTCCATCCTCTCCCACAGTAATTCTGCAGAGTGGTAGAGTATACTAGAGCCGGAAAGCACTGCGTTCTAACATCAGGCACAAAATGTAGAGATGTAGAATGCAACAGTATTGAAGGCAGCTACAGTGCAATAGGGGGGAGGAATGATGAGGAGGAAATGAGGAGCCCAGAAAAAATATAAGTTGCCTGCTGCCTGACCTATGACAGCCTACCGACCCATTGATATCAGCTCTGTCATGAGTATGACATGTGATGCATGTACAGGCTGAGTGAATTGAGGTTCATGATTGGGTGTGCCACCTATAGCCACCCCGTCCTAAGTAGAAGTGTCTATTTAAATTTAGAAGCTGTCGGGCTATAGTCATTCTGACTGTGATTGATAGTTATGCTTTCTGAAGTCTTTCCTAAGCTCTGGTGATTGTTTGCTTTTACCTGCTGCTGGGGAGTGTCCCTTGCAATAGTGTGGGAGGCTGCACTAATCAGAGCTAGGACCAACTACTAGGAAGTTTATTGCCAATGGTACAGGCTGGGAGAGGGGTACAAATATTTGGGAGTGACCTTGGGAAGTAAATTTTTCCCTTGGCCTCCAGCCTGGGGGAAGGATGTTGACCCTCCTAGGCCTGCTGTCTAAGGAGGGTAACCATGTGCACAGACAGAAGCCTGGGTATGAGGCCTAGTATGTGAAGCCTGGGGGATGAAGATGCCATGGAGTAACTTCAGCTGAATAAAGAGCCTGCATAGCTGGGTAGAAGCTTGGTTCTTGAGTGAATTTTGGTGATTTCTCCCCAAGGAGCTGGTGGCTGCAATATTCAGTATCTTACAGTCAGGAGTTCTACTCACAGAATGCCAGGTTGGTCTAAAGGTTCTTTATCTGTGAAGGTTGTTACCACTTTTTGTCTCTTTTATGGAGTCTGCAAGACAATGTGTGTCCTGTACCCTAACCCTCTTTTCCCAAAGTTTTTAAATAAAAACTCCAGGAATTAGGAAAATGAACCCTTGCAGTGGAGCTACCTCTGCACTGTAAGGGTTACCGTCTCATTTTTGCCTTGGGGGTGAATTAAAGAAAATATACTTACCTGACCCTCGACCCCGCTTGGCTGCTAGACCGGTCAGCTCTGCCTCTTCTATCCCAAGGGCTTCGGCGTCTAATCCCCACTGATATAATTACGTCTAATGCAGGTTCATTGAACTGCATTAGACGTGAGGATGTTGAGAATGCTGAGGGGCATACCACAGCTGGTGTGGACGGGAGGAGAGGTGAGCGCTGACTGCCACAGGATCAGGTGAGTAAATCTTTCCAGCCCCTAGACCAAAGCAAGCAGTTAACCCTTGCGGTGTAGGGTAGCCCCACTGCAAGGGTCAATTTTGTTAATTCCTTGAGCTCTGCTTAAAATATATTTATTGCAGACAAAAAACCAGCAGCGTGGAAGTCAGCCAATTCGTTTCCACTGGTGGACCAGTGGGCGCTTTGGGGCAGCTATTGAACAGTGTACCCTAGACACGCTAGGAGGGCTCAATTCCTTTGTGGGCTTCGGGCTACACATAATTATTTGGGTTGCACAGCTGCATGGCGGAATGTGTTGAGTGAGCGTGTTTGGGCATTATGTGAAGTGTTTCTTTAGCAATCCTGAGATAGCAGCTGTGAAAACTCTGTGTAAAAGCAAATATTGTATATATTGCAGATTACCAATCCTTCCATGTGGTGGCTGCATTCATTTCTACTTTTCAGGCTTAAAACATTATCAGCAAGTACAGAATACCTGTTGATCTTGCTAGAAATGCAGTGTCCTTGTGTAAACTGCCAGTCCCATCAATCTACCATCTAATGTAGAGAGAAACAAAGGCAGACATATTTGAAGTCCAGCCTGCGTGGCAACTATGGCATAGATACAGAGGAGAAAAAAATGTTGACGTGAAGGGACAAAAATGTGTAAATTACAGAATTACCAGGTAAAAAGAAAAAAGAGAACTATTGCAGCCACATCTCAGGAATGGTAAGTTGTATTATACAGTACGAGAGGAGGCCAATAAGTTCTTACCCTCAGCATGATCTAGATGTGCGAGGGATCTGAACGTTTGCAGGTTTATAGGTGGATATCTTAGTAATATGCATGCCAATTTTTGTTTTTGTAGGTCGTGGTGAATTATAGTTAGAGCCAATGGAAATGGAGTAGGTGTCATGCTATCAAAAGGTGTGTTGCTGCTAGCTGACAATGCACCTGGACATCGAGCTGCAGAAACTGTCACCTTTGTTCGCGATTGTGGCTATGAATCTCTGCCCCATCCACCTTACTCACCTGACCTAGCACCTTCAGACTTCTTCCTGTTTCCAAATCTGAAGAAACATTTACGGGGAAGACGTTTCCACAATGATGAGACTATCATTACTGAAGTTGATAGATGGTTTTCCTCCAAATGTGCATACTTCTACCTAGATGGTATTAAAGGTCTGTTCCACAGATGTTCCATAGGAGGCGGGTATGTAGAGAAGGAAGAATCAGTGGACTAAATTTCAGATCCCTAGCACATCTGGATCTTAGTGAGGGTAAGAACCTATTGGCCTCCCCTCGTATTACATTGTGTGTTAGGGTTTACATATGCTTTACCTACATATTTTGGTAACCTAAGCAGCATCTGGTCCCACATCCCCGCCTTAGATCCTTCATCTGCTGGGACTTTAGGCTTCAACACCAAGCTTTAGGGTTAAAGTTACTGACCTTTCCACCACTGATTGGCCTTGGCGATTGTAAGGACGGAGACAGTTGAGCCGGACAGTTGCTGAGTCGACACATGCACATTTCCTCCGGCACCAAACACCATGTTGGTAACATTAGCGGTGGTGAGGGTCCAGTTCACAAATGTCATGGTTCCATTTATATGGCAGAGCAGCTGGATGGGGTCTTCAAATTTCACTTCCAAGTATGTGGGTTGAATAGTAACCACTCCTGCAAATGTAAAGGTAAAAGCAATCCAATTGGTTACGCTTATTTACCAGTTTTCGCTCTTTGACTTAATCTCTTCTCAGCAGTTGCTTAGATTGCATTGCCAATCACTGCTAACTCTCCAATAACCTAACAATGGACGTTTTCATAATTTAGGATAAGACCTAAAGGGCAACTGAAGCCCAAGCTTTTTAGTTTTGGATAGAGTGGAGATGGATTAGAACCCCCATCAGGTTTTTATCGCTGTCTGTGTCCCCGTTAGGGACATTCACCCTCTCTATTTGTCCTGGTGAATGTTATAATTTAAAGTAAAAGAAAATACCAAATTTGGGGTTTTCATCAGAACTGGAATAGATGGGAAATCCTCCAATGGAGACATTAGTTCTGGTGACTTTGCCGACCAGCAGGGATTTTCCTGTCTTTGGAGGGATTTCTACTCACTTCCTGTTCTGGATGTCAAAGAGGAAGTAAAGGGAAATCTCCCAAATGGGACACTGATGTCAAACAAATACTGACAGGTGTTATTACCCTTCCTTACTCTAGCCCCCAAAAAAGGTTTTGACTTCAGTTCTATTTATATTTTTTTCCCATTTTCTCGTTCTATGTGTTTCCCCTTCTGATCTTGTATATGGATCTTCCTGTTGTGAGACATATTAAATGTGACAGTAAATGTGGAAGTGCTGATTTGTAAAAATACTGTAGTGTCAACAGGGCCAGTCCTAGACTATTTTGCGTCCTAGACAAAACTATTGGCTATCTTAATTCATAATAGCCAATAGCAGACTACCAATTGTAACCCCACCCACTGAGCAGAGGAGCAGACCTGAGAGAGAAAGTTGTCTCTCAGGGCCGCTTACTAGACAATGATCTGTTAACCTTCAGAAGACGTCAGGTGACGAAACGTGTCAAGGGGCAGATCTTTTCATACTATAAAAGAGTGAAATGATTACCTGCTGTTGATAGTTGTGATGATATGACACTGGAGAGAGATTGAGCAACCAGAGTATTGGTAGCTTTCAGTTGTGTGGCAGTAACCAGACCCGACAGCGACATCTTGTAATTGGCTATCACACTTCCTGGACTGGATATATGAACAGATATATTTAGCATACATGTGTATTCATACTTATTTTTGTATAATAATTTTGGAATGCATGGTTTGTTACCTGAATCCGTGCACTGCCACAGACAAAGGATTGCAATTCTTCGCATAAGCATTTAGAAGCTGATAAAAAGAACAAATGTAACAAATAATGATTATAAAGTACAAAACGTGGCTGATTTATTTTTCTCTATAGTACAGCTGAAGCCAAAACTTTTTTTTTCTTTAGTTATGGATAGAGTGGAGCGGGATTAGAACACCTCTTCTATCTGAGTGATAGGAGACAAAAAAATATATAACATTGTCACTCTTGGGAACTTAGCTCAGAATTGGTGAATTAAATACATCTGAACAGAACAAGGGAGCATTGGAATCATATATGATCATTTGCCCTTGATTTGTTAACCCTTTCGCTGCCAAGGACGTATGGCATACGGACCTACAAAAGTGCTTCCAGCTGGCCAGGTCAGTATGCCATACGGACCTGGCATTTACAGTTCTACTATAAGCTGATGGTCGCTTTAGCGACCATCAGCTTATAGTATAACTGTTCAGCAGACTGTCCCCTTTAAATTAATAGCTGTCATCAGCGGCTCAGAAGCCGCTGATGACCGCTATTATCAAAAATACCGGGCAAAGGGTTAGGACCATTATCTTGAAAGAGGATGATTTCAGAATACCTGGGCATTCTGAAGTACATGAAAGTGGTTTGGCGGGGCAGTAAGGAGGGTGGTAACAGCCGTCTCAGGTCCCTTTGCGGCGGGAACATTGCAGCAATGACCTACCCCTATGTTAGTGATATTTGAGATTCTTGCTACTTCTGAAGGTTTGACAATGCCTAAAGATAAAACGTTGACCAGAACCTTTTTTATTCTAGAAAACTCCCAACCTGCTATTGCTGTGTGCTAGCTAAGAAGGTTGGAGCAGTGAGACTACTGCCAAAATACTGCTGCAATTTTGGGGTTTCCTGATTGGGCTCCACCGTCCTTTTCTTCAAGTGATTTCTGCAATTGATTTTGCTGGTTGTTGTACTATGCTGTAACTTAAAGGAGAACTATGGAGTAAGTGTTTTTCCCCATAGTTCTCTTAAGGGTCACGGGAGGACATATACAGTACTAGCATGCTCCTGTGACCGAAAGCTCAGTATATAGCGAGCTACACTCACGGTATACTGAGACCACCGCAGCCGGGACGGATCTTGACATTACTGTTGAGATCCACCCAGCTGCGTGAGTGACAGCTGGCTCTGCTTATCTAGAGGCATTGCCAGCTGTACCTGCCCCCTCCCCCGTCCGTTCCTCCAGTCAGCGCTGGAGGATCGGACAGGGCATGGGGGGAGGGGGAGATCCCTGCAGGGAGTAGTGACTGACAGTCACGGCTCTCTGCAGGAAGATGATCGAGAAGTGAGCGAGTGACGGCATGCATTCGCTCACTTCCCGATCTACTGAGCCGACCTGTGACAGTTTCATTGTCACACGTCGGCTCGAACTATGAGGGTGAGTGATTTTCACTCACCTCATAGTTCTCCTTTAAGTTTTTAAAATATAAGTGCACCTTAAACTTAAGTGCGTTCATCCTTTTTTTGACCCCTTTAAGTGTTTTGGTCTAGGGGCCAGAATAAAGAAGATGCTCTCACTTGATCCTCGGTCCCACGGCCGCGGCCACTCACCTCTTTCCCCCTCCGCTCTCGGTGTCCTCACATCTAATGCATGTCAATTAACTTCTATTGTACGTGATGATGTTAGCGGTGCTTAGACTGCATTAGCACAGGGAGAACGGAGGCTGCGGGGACCTAAACCTAACAAGCACTTAACCCATACAGTGTGGGGAGACCCCACTGCAAAGGCTAATTTTTTAAATGACGGAGTTCTTCTGTAAGACATCATTACATGTATTTAAAATGCAACTAGAATAAATACCTAACTTTGACCTGATTTTAGGCTCTTGCAATCCCCTCTACAGTAGCACTCTGGGAGAGGAAGGGGCAGTACTTAGGGCCAATCAGGTCTACCGTATGCACATGTGTTTACAAGGATTGTGCTGAAAGGGGGAGAGAGCAGAGAAGAGAACTCATCAGTCAGTTGCTGCTCTTTTATGTCCAACCACAGGCTGGGGGTAGAGACGTGACCTAGCTGCGTTGTTTAACTGCAGCAGAGAAAAGTCATGTCATCAGGCTGGATTTGCTGCCTGGAAAGACTGTATAAATGTAAGGACTGAATGGACAGAAATAGATATACTTTGGCAGGTAAGCCAACGTCTATATCTGTATTTCAAATGTGTATTTACCAGTTTAGTTCAGCCTTCCTTTGTCGTATTTTATCTTTTGCCTTGTTTACCTTCTCAGAACCTAGGTTGATACTTACAGCCAGAGTTATATTGGACTGCATGGCTTGGTACTTTGGTGAGGTTGTATCCAGAAGATCTGCTGTAAAGGTTTCATTCATGGTGAGTGATCCTTTAAGGTCAACTGGAAAGTGTGAGAAAAAGCTAAGTCAGTAGGTTTTAGGGTATTTTAGAATTGTGATATTTATTTATAGGTATTTATTTTGCGCCGACAATTTATGCAGCGCTTTACATAGTGCACATTCATATCAGTCATTTTAAAAGGTGGTTTATTCGTAAGTTTAAAATCCAATGACAATAAAACAAGTCCGACCGGTTCGGCAACTGTCAGATTTGGTATGAAAGACCCGCCCCTACGCGTTTCGTCATCAACAACGTCCTAAGGGAAGCATGCAGAGACCTGCTCCCGATAGGACGTCATTGATGACGAAACGCGTGCAGAGACCTGCTCCCCTGAGGACGTCGTTGATGACGAAACGCGTGCAGAGACCTGCTCCACTGAGGACGTCGTTGATGACGAAACCACCTTTAAAATGGCTACACTATGAAGGAATTTTCTTTCTTTGCATGAGTGAATGATTATTCTTTATCTGGGAAACCGACGGTAGAGAAGGTGCCGGCAAAATACACCGGACCAATCTACTCCGGTAAATACAACGTGTGGGGCTGTCTGTTACAGCCGGATACCTGTGGTGAGTACTCACTTTTAGGGGATATGTATTGATCACAATACACTCCCCAGAATAAGGATTGTGTGTATATCACCGAACATTTGGAATATTGCGTTATATTTCTTTATCACCTGGAACGGATTGAAACACCACAGAGACTTTTTGTTGTTTTTATAAACTTCTTTAATTGGAATTTTTTCACAAATAAACCACGGAGATTACATTCTTTCCATCACAGAGACACATCACTTATAGTCTCTTATACGAAACACTTAATCAATAATTATTTATTTCGATCACCTAGGATAGTCACTTATGATAGGATGAACAACACTTTGTTCACGAAGAGGATTTTTTGTCACTTATGACCGACTTGATTTATTTAGCACTTTTGTTATATGTCAGATACATGGGCGTATATAGTTACATAGTTACATAGTATTTGAGGTTGAATAAAGACATATGTCCATAAAGTCCAACCTATTGTGTGTGTGTGTGTGTATGGGTCCCTGTGTCATCTCGTTATTAGGAGTACCTGTACCCCTGTATATTACTGTTTCTCAGGAAATCGTCCAAAAGCATCTTGAACGATTCCACACTATTAGCTGAAATCACTGCTTGTGGCAGTGAGTTCCAGACCCTAACCGCGCGAACTGAGAAGAACCCCCTTCGCCCCTTGTGTTTGAATTTTTTTTCTACCAGTTTCAGGTGGTGTCCTCTAGTCTTTGTTACGGAATTAATCTTGAAGAGTTTGTTGTTAATGTCACTATGACTATGGAACATTTTGTACATGAAAATCATGTCCCCCCTTAATCTCCTTACTTCCAGCGTGAACATATTTAAATTTAGTAGCCGTGTCCGCTGGACTCCCTCCAGCTCAAGGACATCCTTCCTGTGTACCGGTGCCCAAGACTGCACCGCATACTCCAGGTGAGGCCGAACCAGTGATGTGTAAAGTGGCAAAATTATAGACTTGTCCCTGCAAAACATTCCCTTCTTGATGCAGGACAAGATTCTACTAGCTTTGCTTACAGCAACCTGGCACTGTAATCTATTATTCAGTTTGTGGTCTACAATGACCCCCAAATCTTTCTCCATTTCAGACTTCCCTAGAGGCATACCCATAATTGTATAACCCATTTGCCTATTATTCCTCCCAAAGTGCATAACTTTGCATTTATCGACATTAAACCTCATCTGCCACATAGTTGTCCACTCCCCTATTTTATCCAGGTCCTCCTGCAATGTTACACTATCTTGGTCTGTTTCTATTACCCTCCCAATTTTGGTATCGTCAGCAAACACTGAGATATCGCTGTGTACTCCGTCCTTTCAGGTGAATTCACCTGAATTCGTTTATCCACTTTGATTTATAATATTCACACTAGAATTTTAGCGCTGTATATTAATTTCATATTCATCTATTAGACCCCTAGACCCTGGGTCTATATTACAGCAGCTTTTGACTAACTTTGTTTAAATTTCAGTAGATTGGAGTCACCTTTTATACTCTCATGATTGGTATTGTTGTAGATTTGCTTTGATTTCTAGCGCTGCTCATTCAGTTAAAACCTACTGTATATATTGCCTTACTTTCTAGAAAGGTTTTTCTCCATAGAGGTGTCAGTTGGGTAAACATTGATTTGACATCAAAAGTAGAAAGGATAAAGGGGCAAAGGGCGTTGGTATAAGGTTCACATTGGGACAGCAGATGAAATGAAGATAAGCATCTTGAGCTTTAAGTCATCAACATCATATCTTAAATATGCATTTGTGCCCTGTGATTATCGAGTGTGGCCATATCTTGAGGAATTTGTGTATATTACAAATACTGTATCATGGGTTAGTTCTTCCAATAATCTGAGCTCATCCATGTTTCTTCTAAACACCTAATATCATATATATATATATATATATA